CAGTTCTTCTGTGTATTCTTGCCACCTCTTCTTGATATCTTCTGCTTCTGTTAGGTCCATACCATTTTCTGTCCTTTATTGAGCCCATCTTTGCATGAAATGTTCCCTTGGTATCTCTAATATTCTTGAAGAGATCTCTAGTCTTTCCCATTCTGTTGTTTTCCTCTATTTCTTTGCACTGATCGCTGAGGAAGGCTTTCTTATCTCTCCTTGCTATTCTTTGGAACTCTGCATTCAAGTGGGTATATCTTTCCTTTTCTCCTTAGCTCCATCAGGTTGACACATAAAATTAACCATCACATTTAGTGATCCTGAGTTCTTCTCATGTGCTTGTTGGCTATCTGTATTATCTTTCTTGGAGAAGTATCTATTCAGGTTCTTTGCCTATTTTAAATTTGCCTAAATTAAAATTACGTTGACTTACTTTGTTGTTATAAAAGTTCTTTATACTTTTTGAATATCAATACGTGATTTGCAAATATTTTCTCCCATTCTGTGAGTTGCCTTTCAATCTCTTGATAGTGTCCTGTGGTAAGTTTAAGATTTTAATTTTTGAAGTCCAATTTACCAATTTTTTTCCTTCAGTTGCCTGTGCTTTTGGTGTCAGATCCAAGATATCACTGCCAAATCCAATGTAATGAAGCTTTTTCCCTATTTTTTAAGAGTTTAATAGTTTTAACTTGTACATTTAAGTTTTGATACATTTTGAATTAACTATTTGATTATGGTAGCAGATAAGGGTTCAATGTCATTATTTTGCAATGAACACCCAGTTTTCCCAACACCATTTTTTAAGAGTGTCCATTCTCCTTGAATGGTCTTTGGAACACTTGTTGGAAATCATCTGACCATACATGGTAGTTGCTAAGTCATGTCCGACAAATTTGCGACCCTATTGACTGTAGCCCACCACGCTCCTCTGTTCATGGAATTTTCCAGGCAAGAATACTGGAGTGGGTTGCAATTTCCTTCTCCGGGGGATCTTCCAGACCCAGGAATCAAACCTGGGTCTCCTGCATTGCAGGCGGATTCCTGCATTGCCAGCGGAACCTTTTACCGACTGAGCTACAAGGGAAGCCCCTCTGACCATACATGGGGGAGTCTATTTCCGGGCTCTTTATTCTATCCTGTTGGTCTAAATGTCTGTCTTTATTG